CTATCTGTGACTTGATTCATGTACCCTCACAGGGCCTGAAGGAGGTAAGGTGTGTCAAGACGTGCCAATGCCGTACTGCTGTGGCCGTATACGTCAAGTGACTCGGGGGTGGCCGGCCGGGGGTGCGGTATTGCATTCCTGCCTGCACACACGGCTTTCGTTCACGGTTCGAGCGCGGAAACACAAATTTAATTCGCTCCCACACTGAAGAAAAATATCGCTCTACTTCTGTTGCATCGCCCAAGCAAAAGCGTTCTTCACACGAGGTTTGGAGCTGCAAGTCATTATTCATTCCGTGAACGTTTGTTGTCCACCTACAATCTTGTTAGGTCGTGCACTGGGCTTGGAGCGAAGGAGGCTGGGCGAGCCCTCACCGCTGCGAAGACACCACGACCGCAGCTGACTACCAGCTGTGCAGGGAGGAGTCTCGAGCGCTACTGCTGGGTTGCGGGGCTACAGACTTTGCCGGGGCCGGGGTTGTTCACATGACGGGAGGTGCGTGATTTTTAAGTAGCAGTGATTTCGTTCGTGACGTGGTGTCATTTCAGTCTCCTTGGGGAGGTTGGCGTATTTTGCTACGCTACGAGTTTTTCTCTCTGTCTTGCTTGCTCCGTGTGCGTACTGTAGGAGCTTTTATTTCCTGGTCCCCAATCACGGAACTCCTCCACGGGGGACCAGTCAAACACTGTTATAAGTCTTTTGCCCCCATGGTGCGTGCCGTCTCAACCCTGCACTCGACGACGGTTTTTCTCTGGGCTGTGTTGTTGCAGGCATGTGTGCGCTGGTGGCCGCAAAGATAGTCGGGCCGAGGACGAAAAGGTTTCGGAACGGCATCCCCAACCGAATGCCGCAGCAAAGCCCCGCCCTGCAAACCTTGGGCGCCTTGATACTCTGGGTCGGCTGGTATGGTTTCAACGGGGGCTCCGTGGGATCAGTGTCCAACGGGAGGAGCTCCTTGGTGGCCGCGGCTGTGGTGAACACTACAATTTCGGCAGCCGCAAGCGTGCTTTCCGTGGGCCTGTGGCTGAAGATCGTCTACAAAAAGATCGACAGCGGACACCTCAACAACGGGATTCTCTCTGGTTTGGTGGCCATCAGCGCTAGCGGGTCGTTGGTGCAACCGGAAGGGGCGTTCATCGTCGGGGCGGTGGCGAGCGCGTTCTACATGCTCGGCACGGAGGGCCTGAAATGGTTTAGGATCGATGACGTCGTGCAAGCTTCGGCCGTGCACCTCATGTGCGGCGCGTGGGGATTAGTATCTGTCGGTCTGTTCAGCACAAGGAGCCGCTACCAAGACTTGTACAGCTACGGAAACTTCTCCGACCCAGAACGAGACGAAGAGTGCTGTGGACGTGAGTGGCGTGATCATTTTTGAGCTGGTCACCAACTCTTAACACCTACCCTAGCAGTACGACCAATGGTGTCGTGCACAATGCCGCCCTAGCCACAGGCGCTGTTGGTTGAAAATCATTTGCGCATGTTCCTCCCTTACATTAGCGTTGTTCTCGTGACCGGGGTTGTGTATAACATAGCATTCATTCCCTGGGGGCAGCTGCGTACAAGTACTAATTCCCTACTTGTACTCTGACCACCACGGGCGAACATATATCATCTTTTCGCCTTGTAGAAGAGGGGTCCAAGCACCCCCCACTACTGCCCTCCGCCTTCTCCTGCCCATCCCCGAAATGATGCGGGAGAGGCCACTACTAGAGGATTCGCTGCATTTTCTTTTTTTCATCACTCGCCGGGACTCGAGGCCTTGGAATAGGTTGCTTCTTTGCCATACGTGCATTCTACACGACGTTCGACCGCGAAGCGCCACACAACAAATGTGGGCATAATTTCGTACTGGAATTCCAGACGTAGCCTGTGTCTGCACCTTGCTGGGCACCGCTTCTTTGTGGGCTTAGCTTTCCAATGACCTCCTTGCGCATGTGTGCCATTTGACCTAAGGCGGCTCAACGTGTGTTGCTCCTGCTCCCTTCCTCGCGCCCCCTGCTGCCGGTGATTGATGCGACTTGCGCGGCAGTGCTGTACGGCTGCGGAGGGAAAGTACTAGCAGCAAACGTGATCTTCATGCTTTCCATTTCTGGGTGGGTTGCGGCGCTGTCATGCTTGGGGCTGTTAGTCATTAAGAAATCCGTGGGGTTGCGGGTGCCGCTCGGTGTGGAAGAGATGGGAATGGACAAATCGCGACACACCCGCAGCAACAGAAACTCCATTGCCCTAAGGCGGGCTCTCCGATCTGCAGCTGGGAAAGATGATCGGAGCACTGCTGCATCAAGCCATAGGCCATCGTTCAAGTCGGCACCTGTTGCCGCCAGCCCGCGCACCCTGGCGCCCGTGACTCTATCACACTGGAAAGACTAGCGTTGAAGGTCTTTTGATTCGAACTTGCGATTTCGCGCTCTGTTATGTTTGGTGCCAGCCATGGGGTTGAGTCGTGCTAGATATATTGATATAAATAATATGCGGTACTGCTAGAGAAGATGTCGATTGAAAGGAGAGGTTTGAACGTCTCACCCTTACGCCAATGCTCCTCTTGAGCAAAAGGCCAAAGCTCTCCTCTTGTGAGCTCTATTGTCGCTGGTATTTCTTGTTTGAATTTTGGTGCCGTATGTTACAGTGTTTGCTGCGTTTCGGTGTCGGGTTACTATCGAGGATCTCTGTGTTTCGAGGCACGTCATTTTGTGTGTTGTGTGAAACGTGTGGGGATTCGATTGAACCCAGCAAGGTAATACGTCGTAGAAAATACCCCGTAGTGAGCAGCGCATGTCCGCTGCACAAGGCGTTATTCCTTATATTTTTGTGTTCATTTCGTGGCGGATGCTCCCCATTCGATACCGACGCTCCAACAATCCCCTATTGGAAATGTTCGATTTTTGCGGCAAGACGCTCCACGTAGCAGTAAACATCCGCGAAATGTCATTTTCGTTCGCCCCCTACCTTGTTTGAAAATATCAACGTAGTTAATAGTCAAAAGTTTCCGGTTGATCGGTGAAGAGGTTAACAGTAGTTAGTCAAGTGTCTGGTTGAAATTTCGGATACGTTCGTCGTCGTGTATAACGCATCCACCCGAGCGATAAATATTTTCTTTTCGAAGCGGTCAACGACGATTCGAAGTAGACGTGGACGGGACGGGACGGGACGGGGGGGGCGGGTGATGGGGGTGACCGCATTGTTCATCGCATTCGGGGTGCTGGGGGTATTAAGATATGGCACGAGTTGAATACGGTAGAGACGGCAGTGATGTGTTTGCATCGAGCGAGAGGCGAATCGCAGAGATCGTGAAGCGGTGGAGGAGTAGCGCTCGTCCGGGAATTTGACTTTGAATGCCAAAAATAGTGGGCCGAGACTTGCTTGGAGAGCAGCACGTAAATATCTTCTCCGCCGCATTAAGGTACACAGAGCTAATGCTGAACTGTTTCCTAGACAAAGAAAGAAGCCCTTCGGCTGGTATTTGGAGCTCATGGTGCAGCGAAAAAACAACGTAAATCGTTGGGTAGATGCTAGGAACACCGCCATTCGGCAGATAAGATAGAGAGCGTTAACGCCTTTAACAACATACTGTACCATGGTATATGCTTGGTCCCGAAGGATCAGGGGCCGGAGGGCATCCCAGCCAGCCTGGCAAAACATCCAATCTCTTTGCCCACTTGGGGTACAACCTATGTGTACATACACTTTGCGGCTGTGTGCGGGCCGAAAGAAGCGGCTAGAAAAAAGAGTCGAGCTACTTCGGCTTCGTCCCGTAGGCTGTGGCGACCGCACGCTCCTCAAGAGAAAGCCGAACGTCCCCTCCCATCTCGACGAATTGCAGCTCAGATGAAAGCGTTTCGTGCCTGTACCTCAGTCGGATATCTGGCACGTTGGTCATACTGATGTCATTTCCGTCAGCTCCCTGCACGTGTCAGTCAACGCAAGCATTCGACAGAATGCAAAAGGGCCGTCAGATAAATGGTGAGATCGGGCTCTACGAGGTTCTTCTCGACAAACGACAACATCTCGCAAGTGGACATCGCACCACACACCTTGTCGTAACCGGCTCCAAGGAAGTGCTGCTTGAAGCGATGTTCGTACCCACTCTGCAGCACGCTGTTGCGCGCGATCTCACAGTGATCCACAGATGACAGCTTCCAAACTTGCGCCGCGACGCTGTACTCTTCGAGCAGCGGATCTTTCGTGTAGTGAAGCATTAATGGGTCATCTGTGGAGAGCGACACGTTGAGGCCTTGCGCGAAATATCTTGGAAACGGGTTTTTGGCGTAGTCCAAGAACAGCTTGTTGTTCGACAGCGGAGACATCGCAATCCCAATGCTTCTCAGGTAGTACAGGTACTGGAGGCCTGGGACCTTCCGCAGCAAGAGACCGTGGTTGATCTGGTCTGCAAGTAGGAAGCACGCCGCCAGATGCTCGACATCGCCTGCCTCGCCACAGTGCGGGCGATATTCGAAGGTGTTTAATCCCTTAGACTTTCTAAGACGATTGAGGCTCGTGATGTTCTGAGCCACGTAGTAGCTCCAGTACGCGTACGGAGGGTTGTCCGGGATGCCCCACTCTTCCGGGGACGGGAGATATCTGTCATGGTCCAGCTGGACCGTCTCTCGCTTGCTCTCGTCGTCGACGGAGTCGAATCCAACCACTGTCTTGAGGAAGGCGTGCAGGGCGAGGTTCGCGTCTGGATTAACAGACACCTCAAAGAGCGGTGCGAAGATGTTGTTGATCATGTCGGAAAAGACGTGCACCTCGCCAATTTTCTTGTAGATGTGGTACAGCCGAGGGATTTGAATCAACCATCGAACGTTCGGGTGCGCAAGTCGGTTGGTGAAGAACCAGCGTGCCAGCTTGTCCCACTCTGATAGCCGCCGGCCGTAGATGCTCAGCCTCCACTCGGAACACTGGTACTTGCTGCTCGCCAGATCTGCGATCACTTCGCGGGTGACCTGCGCGAGATACTGACCGGCAATCAGGTTATCCGTTTTGAGGAATATCTCTCTTAAGCGGCTCTGTCCCGCTGGGTTGTACTTGAGGTTGAAACGGTCGAACCTGTGGAACGTGTTGTTGGCGTGCATGTCGAGCGTATCCACGCTGAGGTCGTACGCGTTGAGACGAAGAGACTTGAAGACTTCTTGAAGGGTCATGAAGCGCCCATCCCGGTAGCTGACGACCTCGTTAGGGCATCGCTTGAGCTTGTGTTTAATGAAGCGCAGCAGGTGCTTCTGGTTCATGCAGGCCGAATGGTGCACATGTGTGTCCACCTACCGGTTGGGGGGGCACAAGGACAGCACTGGTGAGCAAAAAACATTTCACATCCCAGAAGACGCAACTTTCAAGCGTACGTTCATCAAACCTTCCACCGAACAAAAGCGCTTGCCAACAGCAAAGGCCCGCTGCCATACAACGCCAGCCATCTGTGTATGCATCGGGTTGGGTCGGGTCACAATGTTTGGCATTGACCGCACCGCCATCGCGACACTGCGACAAAATCCTACAACGGCACCTTCCGGACGTTGTAGAAGTCCCGGTGTGGTACGCTCTTTTGAGCAGCCAGTTCTGCTTCCTGGTTCAGTAGGACATGGAGATTGAACCTCGCTTCCAACAGCTGCAGGCGCTTGAAGCAGAGAGATTTCACCGGGCCTGCGGAAGTCACGACATTAGGCAACAGCAATGACAGCCCACGAAGCTTAACCGCGGGTATCGCAACACCTGCTGCACCTTAGTGGCAGATAGCCTTGTACATTGAGCTATGCATGCCTCCGTTCACCCCAGAAGCATGCGTCACACCAACGCAACGACAAGAGCTATGGCTGGTCGGTTTTGTCGTGTCGAAAGCAAGTTCCGCACCTGAGTGGATGATGCCATTCAATTCCTTAAGGTCTGTGAAAAACTCTTTGACCGACGGCAGCCGCACCCCGGGAGTGTCAAGCGTCTCCCCTTCTACCAGGGCGTAGTAAATTCCCTGAGTAAAGAAGATGGAAAGTAGCAGCGATGTTGGCGATCGCAGACGCTGTTCGTTGCACTCTATCCTTCGTGTGACAGCAGTTGTTGGTAGATGAGAGCCCGGCGATCGAAGGGGGGCCAGAAATTATTATAAATAAGGACTCCAAGAGCCTGTTGCTCAGGATTGAAAGCAGCGTGAGAGAGATAGTAGGAGGCAACCGCCTACGGGGGCGAGTCGCCTTCTTGCCACTTCGGGACAAAACACACGTAGGCCAATGCCATGCACCACACTGCTCACGAAAAGAGGCTTGCAGAGCCTTTTCGCGAGAAAGTGAACGCATGCATGGAGGGGCTCGGCAAGAGGACCCCTTTTCTTTGTTACGACCTCGCCTTTACCAGAGTGGCCAAAAGCTGGAGTAGACAACAGGCGGTACGCATATGAGAACAAATTGCGATGATCGCACCGTTTTGCTCACCTTCGATCTGTCAACACACAAAACGATGTGCTTGGCCAGGCCAACACTACACCAACACCACACCCGGACTTTGCTGCAGCTAGAACCACTATGTGCGGTAGACTACACGACGTGAATCGTGATCTCATGAAGAGAGACTCTGGGGACGTTCAGTAGCTGCGAGTAGTACAGCATCGACCAAAGATAGAAACTGACGACAGTGCGGTCTCACCTCGACCACTTCCAGACGATGATGGGTCATGGGTACGTCGTCGTGCGCGAACGGGTCATATTCGGGCTCAGGTCTCCTACGAAATTCCACCGGTTTGCCAGGAGACGGGGCTGTCAACAACGTTCAGACGGGACCGCGGAAGAACGCGAGGGGTCATAAGGGACATCCCCACAACTCAACACCAAACAACCGGCCAGGATAGTGCTTCCACAAAGCCTCTGGTACAATTAGTACCACGTACAGCCTCTACGGTGACGTCGTCCCAGCGGGAGGTGGCTCAGGGGTCCACTTGCCTGGCGACGAGGCTGAAGGAGGGGGTGGCATACAGCGCGCTCCTTCACAAGGCCGGGCAGGTCCAAGCGTGGACCACTTGTCGCGCAGGTTCAGAGCAGTCTGGGGCAAAGACAAGCACAACGGGTTGTGGTCATCGTACACGTTGATCATCCCTCCAGACCATTCTTGAGTACTATTAAGTATGGCAACACTGCCAACGACCTAATGACAACTAGGGATCACTGGCTTTGGAAAGCACACAACGGGCCGTCTGGCTAAGGTTCCGTCGAACAGGAGATTAGATAGGCCCCTAACAAGCACTCTACACAATATGGGAGCGATTCGTGCTGCAATTAACGCAAAAACGTGTGGAGCGCATCCCGATACGTGACAGTCGACGTCGTGTATCTTGTGGCGAGCGCAATCACTCTGAAAGAAGTAAGAACTACCTTGAGCTGGCCGCAGGACGTCCTCATGTCTTCGTCGACGAATTCGTCCTCGCCGCCATAGACAAGAACTCGCTTGTAATCCTGGTGAGGGACCGACGGAAAGCGCGTCAGTCTAAACGACACACGTCAGCGAGGCCATACACAGATCACCTAATCCTCTACGCATGAGGTGGCACGCTCCTTTGGTGTGCCATCGGCCTCCGCTTCAAGAAACCGAATCCGCGTGAGATGACCGTGTACATCCCCTCCCCCCGGTACCCACAGATGCCAGCGGCTGAAAAACGCAAGTGTGGAACGCCATAATCTTGCGACAAGCATAGCGCACTTTGTGATAATCATCCTGCAGAGAGGTTGCTGGTAGAAATTGTTGGGAGTTGTGCTGCAGACTGAGCGGCTTTCGTCACACCAGAAGTAACACTTGCCGCCCTTGAGAGAGAAAGCAAAGGGCAGCGTACGGCGGTTCTACAACCCAGACTGCGGCGGTATGCGCTATGTTTGGTCTGAAACGGCGGCAGGCGTTCGCGCATTGAACGAAACATGCCTATTGCTTCAAAAGTCATGCCAGATACCACTTGCCGACACCCAGCTGTACTCACTGCGTGTCTGCATGAAAAAATCCGCATCAGACGGTAAAACAGACAGCAGATCTCAATGAGGATCCTCGCTTTACCTCCGGTTGTCGGACGTGGACGTTGACGGTGTCAAAGAAAGCACCTTTGATTTCCGCAGGTCCAAGGGCTCCCGCCGCTTCTTCTTCATCGCTTCCGTCTTCGGCAGCAAACAACCGGTTACTCACCTGCACGGCCGTCGATGTGTCAACAACTCCGCCATGTACGTGTCAAGTCCGCATGTATTGCCCAATCCAACAGTATACCTGCAAAGCTGTTCGCATTACTGGCGTTTGACTGGTGCTTGCGCACGCCGGAGACACAAGTCCAGAGGAACACACACGCCCCATGGAACATAATTGACAGCTGGCAGAATTCATGAAAAACCTGAGTGTATCCATCCCCTCTTGGACTGCGTCGGTGGAACTAGGTGGTACATCAGCAGTACAAATGAAAGTAGCCTGTACATGGGCTATTGTACGATACTGCTTGTACATGTAGTCCCAGCAGGAGGGTCGCCGTCTAGCATCTTTGAGTCTACCCCAACACAAAGAGTTGAATATATGGATCGTTACAGCAACCGGCCATCCAGGCCAGAGTGGATCGCCTCGTGGGAAGCCTACAATATCACCGCTGCAATCAAGTTTGGACTGCCCACGGCTGGGATAGTCTATATGCATATGGCATTTGTGCCGCCCGACATCGTTCGCCGACAACTCACCGATCTGTTCAGCGTGCTGGCGGCGATTGCCTGGATAGCATGGTCTTTGATCAACTCGTCTTCCTGAAAGCGGTCCAACGCCATCGGGCTTGCTGTTTAACTATCTGCAGTTTACGCCTTGCTCTATGTGTCACGCGCAGCCTGCGTGGACCGGTGCACAGAGTGCAAGCAGTGGCAAGCAGCAAGGTGAAAGTTCATCGAACAAAGTTGCATAGAGAGGCCCCGCATTATCGGTGTTGGATCTTGCGACGACGGGTTTGCATTGGTTCGAAAAGCGTTTCCTTTGAACCGACCATATGCCCCCATTTGCGGTTCTGGTAGCGGCTCCCCTCTGCTGCCTCGCGTACGCACAGCAACAGCAGACGTACTCTCCCTCCCATCCAAAGACCCTTCCACAACCATGGCGGGGTGGTTCAGCAATATGAACCTTGACCAGATCGGTGCCCAGGTGTGTGTAGTCGGCGCTTGTTTGCTTTCCAACGACATGGTCGTGACAGAATGCCTTGCTTACTCAACTCCGAGTTATAAA